ATAATATAATTCCTCTAATTATTTTGCATATAAAAGTATTAAGGTAAAGTTATAAAAAAATCAATACTTTATGTGATATTTAATTCTTTAACATGCTATATTTCGACATGAAATATGAAATGTCTATTGATTTCTTGATAATTATACCTTAATACTTTTATGCATAAAATAATAAGACGAACGAATTGGTATAAAAAAAAACACAGTTGCTTTGAAAAAAAATGTAATTTATTGCATTTTTTGCAAAGCAATTGTGTTTTCTTTATACTAATCGATTCGTCTTATTATTTTGTGAGCTCCATGTGACCTTGAAAAATCAATTTTTTTAATGAAATTGATTTTATCATTATTTGTCTCGCTTTATGTCCTACAATTTTTGTCTGAAACATTTTCTCGTATCTTGCGTATTTTTCGAAATATGGCCTAAGGCAATTAAAATGGGACCCTTTATATGATTATTATTATTATATATAATTATGTCTACTAACCACCGCCAGCAACCATAGTCCATATGCGACCATCCGGATTAAGAATTGTCAACTTTAAACTGGCGCCAGATTTAGCATCTAAATCAGCTATATAAGCTTCTTCTGGATAAGCATCTCTTCCAAACGGTGGCGGATAATCGATTTCTCCCCAATCTGGTTTACATATGAAATCTGCCGTAGTGTCTAATTTTGCCGCAAGGTCGAGAATATAAATTGCAGTATTCGTAATCACTAGTGGATTGATTTCCAAGTACGTAAAATATAAATTAACGTAGAGCTTATAAAGAGATTCTATAAATTCAGCAATCACCCTAAAATAAAATAAAAAATATAAAGAAAGTTATAACATCTATAAAAATAATAATAATAATAATTAAATGATAAAATATTATTATTACGCCTTTTTATCGTCCATCACATTTGTCAAAAGTTTATCAATCAATATAGATTGATCAGGCATCTTTCCACCAATCGGTATATCTAATTTTAAAGCTTTAGCATCGACATCTCCGATATCAATACCTCCCTGGTGATGAAATAATATCGTATCAGCTTTACGATGAGAATAGATACAAACATAAGCTTCTTCTGCCTGTAAATGTGAACATAAATTACATATATTTAGTCTATAGTAATCATATATTGTTACATCTTGTAAACATTGATTTCTTGATTCCTCAAAATAAGCACCTGTAAAATATTTAATATGCTACATGTAATGCAATTAACAAGTTTAAAGATTGATTCTATTACGTAAATATTACGAGCGTTATTTATTTGAAATTTATTTAAAATTTGTATTATAATTGTCAATCTTTATACAATTTGCATGATCCATTAATATAACTTAAGTTGTTTTCATACAATATTTAAAAATTTTTTTGCTTGTTGCCTGAGAAATGAATCGTACTGTTAAAATTTTACATTAAATTTAATCATACCAAAACGCATCAAATATTGATAAAAGAGCCCAAACAGGCCATGGCCATCAAAAGTGAGATAGATAAAGTTGAAGGTCAAAAGAATATCGATTGGGTTTTTTGATTGGAAAGGCTTAGGCTGCGTTCTGTTTTAACGCTCACGCGCTGTAAGCATGATTCTTGTTTAACATTTGATAAACAAGGATAACGCTGTAAGAGCCAAAAACATGAATACGGAATGCAGTCTTAGTCATCATAAATATGCACTGGAGAATCAAATGATAAATTTTATTTAAAAGTAATAAAACTTCTTGAATTGCATTATTTGAATTTACAATTAGCAAACTCCGATGATTTTTTAATGCATGATATGTGCTTACATATACACTCTTCAACTGTTAAATATACTTATCAATAGATGATTTTTTGCACTATTTTTTCATTTAATTCGTCATTATTAGCTTTACTATTTTCTATAAAATATAAAAAAATCGCTTAGATCATTTTTTGATAATGTAAAAAATATTGAAAGATTTACAAGAAATTTAACATCTTTTATTGTAGTCAAGTCATTTTTATATAGCGTGTTATATATCATTATATATATATTATGAATATTATATTACATTCATCGATAGATAAAGTGATGATACTAAATTATATAAATAAAATCTTTTTAAACACTATGTCTACAATAATGTGCAAAAAAATCTTACCGGTTTGTGCGGCACAAACGGTTCAATTATAAATGTTTTTAATTTTCCAATTGTCTTGCCAATGCGTTGTTCTTTATTCATGTGCTGCTGAATCCAATTTTGTACTGTAACTAAATCTGCATTTACTTTAATTAATCCGAGTTTTCCTCGTCGCTTGATTAATTGATCCGGTTTAACAACTAATCTTTCCGTTTTGAGCCATGAATGTTCGTTGATAATATCAATCCAATTTGTATTTTCCGTAATAGATATAAATCTACATTTTGCTGCCTTCGTTCCAACAGGAAGTTTACGGTTGATCAAATCTTTCCCAGTTGCTTCTCGAATTGCCTTTGCTGCCATTGTTTAGAAATTTCTGTCAACAAATCAATAAATAAATCAAATTTAGATTTTTACATAATATCATTCGTCCCGTTTTAATTTCTGTGAAAGAATTTAATTATTGATAAAATTATTTAATTTGTAACCTAAACTTAAATAATGTAAATATTGTAAATTTTAATGCAACAATTATTTAAAAAATGATCTAAATAATACTTAAATTATAATATCTTTTTTAGTCGTGTAACTATATTAAATATATTATATTATTAATTAATAATTATTAATGAGATTAATAGTTTTTTAACGATATAAATATTTTTACTGTTTGTAAAAATTAAAAGAAAAATATGTCATAAAATTAATACGAAGAAATATTTGTATTTTATAAAAGTCTATATTATACAAACTGATGAAAAATAATAATGGCAGGGTTTCGAACAAGTGATTTTAATATAACATTATTTATCGTCATTTTCGGCGTTAAAATTTTGAATATAAATGAATATTAATACATTCGTATACCTCTGAATATATTTAAATTGATGTGGATGTCACAGTTCTTGCTGTCACTTGCGGCAGCTAACTGAACGTCCAATGTGACACCACAGCAATATGTAACATCGTAATCACGTCTCCAACGATATCGCGAGATATCGTATGATTCTACGAAGACATTTTTATGCAATATTCCTTTTTATCTCTTCCTCACTCTATTTCACATACATATATGTATATATGTATGTATCAATTAATACACATACACACTACGTACGAAATAACACATATAATACGTAATAAGAAATATGTATGATATAAAAAAAAAATGTGCCGACAATACCATGCTTTCCATGTCTCGTTATAAAGAATTATCAATTATATTGTATCATTAAAGAGGGTAACTGTTCAGAATAGCTTGCAATAAACAATTTCAAAGATAAAACAATGCATAAATATTTAATAAAAAATTATATATATTAAAAGATACATAAGAATTACAAATATTCAAAGATTGGGCTAAACTTCATGAGCATATAGAACAATCTATATGGAACAATTTTTGTATATATATCCATGTCTGCTTCGATTATCTTGTGGCACTACAATCGATTTAAGTATTTTATTATTAATTAGAAAGTTCCAGTACGGTCAAAGTGGATCTTGATGCTTAATAATATTTATGTAAGTCTTACAATTTCCAACTCATGCAAAACTGTGCGCCGAATATTGATCGTCTTGAAACACTCTAAACTGAATCCGGAATATTGAACACATAATATCAATTAAATCGGTAAGTATTTTAATAATTCGATGCTAATGAGCATCTTTTAAATCTTGTAATATAATTTATATTACCTCAACCAGGATTTGAACCTGGACCTTCCTACTTTCCGGGCGACTGTCTTTCCGTTCGAAACTACTTTTCGCAATAAATTATTTTACATCAAATTACATGTTCCAGATTCAGTTTAGAACTGTATTTTCGTTGAGTACGTTTCGATCTCCTTCAGGCTTTCTTCAGCAATTGAATAATTAATAAAATATTACTCCATATAAATCTAAATAAATAATAAATAATTTCGCTAATTAATGTTAATATAGTCCGCAGCGTGAAAAAAAATTTAAGTACGTCATATCAATAAATTACTCCGCAACATTAATATATTCCGCAATGTGTGAGATGGGCCTCCAATTTCAAAATTAAAAACAGACGTCATCCGTATTAATGATGATGTTCAAAAATTTTCTATATATAATAATATATAAAATTCACGAAGCATATATACCACTAACTGGAACAAGTCAATTTGTACATAATAATAATGAAGGATAATAACAAAAGTTAATAGCGATGCTCGTAAAATGCGTTAAAAGATACGAACTCCACTTCTATTGTCGCGTCTAGAACGTTGTCGATTTTGTTTAATGTGTATGTCCGTGTTATGATAAAATCAAAAATATAAATATAAAATTAAGACAGCAATGTTATGAAGGACCAAGCGTAATAAATCACTAACATTATTTCAATTTCATTAAAATAGAGCTGGAATACACATAATGCAGGAATTTTGTGTTAGATTGCAAATTAAAACTTTCCTTTAACTTTAATTTTTTTTGTTTTTATTACAAATTTGTAGCTCTGACGCATTTGTTTATGTCTAATTCAATCCCGTACAAGCATTTTCAATTCCGTTCAGTTATTTCGGAGTTATCGCTACGACTGCAATGTGTCGATGTGTTCCAGCATCGCCTCAATGACTGTGGGTGAGTTATCTTTAATTTTCAGACTTTTTTTACATTTTTCCTTCTACTCGTTACATTATTCTAGTTCTAAAAAGCGTAACAATAATACTTGCATTCCACTTATCAGTTAGGCTAAGGGGTTTAGATAGTGTGCATTAATTGCGTATATAACGTACTCAAGTTTAAAAAAATTTGTTGTAATGAACTGATTTACTGTTTTATATTTAAATTCTTATTACTTATACACTGTTAATTTTGCTGAAGAGGTTCAATGAGGATAACTACAATATAAGTTCAATTTTTTAAATTATACTTGATTTTATTAAATATTTTTATTATGTAATTGATATATTTTTTATTAATCTGCGCATTACTTACTGCGCCAACTTTAAGCCCAATTTTTTAAATTACACTTGATTTTATTACATATTTTTATTATGTAATTGCTATACCTTTATTAATCTGCGCATTACTTATCGCGCCAACTCTTTTAACATTTTCTCTAATTATTTGATTTAATCATCAGAAGTTCTAGTGATTTATAATTCGTTTAAAAATGTTATTATTGCAATGCGTTTTTATATTATAATATAAATATAAATCAAAATACAATAATATATTATGTAACATATATGAGCTTTTAATTATCGATTTATACGTTAGACCGTTTTTACTTAAAAGAAGCGTATATGTACATACAAGGAAATTATGAATAAGAAAGCAAATTACGAATATCCAAAAAATAGTTAAATATTCAAGCTCTGAAACTCTGAAATTCTTCTGTATATTAACCAATAGCGTTATTCTGTGAAACGATAAAAAAATTATGGGATACCTATTTAAATCTATGTAGCGATTATTATCTTTTGTATAGCAATCGTGGCGCAGAGAGTTGTGCGTTTACTTTCAGTGTCAAAGATTCGAGTTCAAATCCGACTAGAAACAGCGAATTTTTATTTCGATTGCTACTTCTCGGAAGGTAGCGGCAATCCGCTAAGAGTACACATTTTGCCGCGCAAACAACTTTAAATATTAGGCTGGTTCTGTTTGAAACAGGCGCGGCGTTAAAACTGTAGATTCCGTATATCTGTGTAAATTGTTAGCGTACAGAAATATGATGAGGGGTCACCACGGTTCTGACAAGAGGCAAAGAACTCGAAAGAATTCAAATCTATGACAAGAAAAAGTAGCTAAGTCGTATGTTACGTGATTGGTAAAGTATAAAATTCGTTCCAAACAATAAAATTTAAAAAATATTAAATTACAAACACAAACAAATAGAGCACAAATTTATTAGTGATAATTAAAAACTTCAAAATGAGAAATAAGATGACTCACAGTAATTCATTAGCTTAAAAATACAAAATACATATTTGCCAAATCTACTCCGAATTACAAGGAATATTAATTCTTTATCTTCACCACATATAGGCAGGGAGATAGATAGGCACGCATGTATACACACAATCAATCTTATATTTTTTAATTATAATTATAATAAATTTATAATTCATTCATTTTATATATATTGCAGTCCTATACTGTATTTTTTTACAAAATTGTAAGTAAAAAATATCACTGTAAAATATCTTATTCAGAATTGGGAAGTGACGCATAACTTATTACCGTTTTCGTTATTTTTTTCTATCTGTAATGGTAACATCGTTACATTTTTATATTAATAGTAACGAATTTACCATTACTTTTATCGTTACTTATTTTTAAACTTTTATTTTCTTATTTTATATATAATATATTTTTAATTTATTAATCTGAATCGATCATGATTTCAAACAACTAAGATGAGAAGCCGCCAACATGGTACAAAACGGACCTTGATACTTAAAATGATAATTAATTCGAGAGGTTAGTTACTCATGAATAAGGTGCTTGACTGATTTTTAATTTTTTGTAATTTTATGCAATTTCAACGTGATTTTAAAATAATTTTAATTTTGTATAAATTTGAAATAATTTCAAATGATTTCGTATGATTTCAAATTTATCAAAATATTTCATAATAAATTCGGGATTTCATAATAAAACAAACTATTTTTTAAATGAGCAAATTATTACACAATGATTTTTTAAGCAATAACTTATATTCAATATTTTATAATAAATTACCTCTTATTGATATCTAATGATATTTTTTTCAATAGGCCACATAATAGTTCGGATTGAACTCATTAAAAGGATTGAAAGTAAATTTCAAATGTATAACATGCGCATTACATTAAATTTAATCATATTACAGTTGAAATATATTACAAATTACTTTTTAAACACACAACATTACAAACAATTTAAGAAAGTTTAAAATTACAAATTTACAAATATTTTTGTATTTGTTTAAATACTACTTGGTCTAAAATGAGATTTATATCGATGATAACAGGTCATAACATTGTTAATACATATTGAGTAATATTAATATATCCATGGATATCCATTGGAATGGAAATTAAAATACCATCTGTTTTTGTTTTATACCAATGGTAGAGCACTCCTACATCTCTTGCATTATTTTTTTACTTTTACAAAACTGCTAGAAAACTGTGTTCTTCCAACTGTTGCCTTCTAAATATGCAAAACTTAGAATCATCCCAATATAGCATTTTAGACAATTTCAAATAATTTCAAGTGATATTTAACTACATGATTTCAATTTGATTTCTTAAAGATTTGATAAAATCTTTCAACTGAATTTTGATTTAACTTGATTTCAATGATGGATGCTTCAACTGATTTCGTAACTGAGTAATCTCTTGTTATTAATATTTTAATATGTGAATTTTACAATTTTCAGTAAAAATAAATTGCGCGCCGCATAATTGTCGGTCGTTAAAACGCAGTTCTAAACTGATTATGAATGACATATAAATCATAATTAAATTACCAAAGCAATTTAATAATTCGATGCTAATAAACATCCTTTACTTAAATTGAGAATTGTAGAATTGTAGAATTGTAGAATTGAGAGTCACAAAAAAATATTATTAAGCACCAAGATTCGCTTTGTATCGTGTTGGCGTTTTCGCACCTAATTTTTGATTTATTTAAAAAAAAATATTTTGAAAAATATTCTATATCTCTTTGATATAACATTCCGAGTCACTACCAGTATTAAAAGTCTATAATTCACATTACATACATACTACGGATTTTCAGTACTATAGTAAATATTTGGATGCATTCTTAATAAGGTTTGTAAACAGTGAATTTAATCTATCTTTTTATAAAAATTAGTAATGTAAAAAAACTTTCTCTATAAGCAGACTAGTTTAGAATTTCAAATTTTAATATTTATTATTACATTTAATAATATAAAATTAATAATATTAAATAATATAAACTGTAATTAAACTTATTTTAATATTACGAAAAA